TTCTATACACTAGCAACAAACTATCAGAAAGAGAAATTAAGAAAATAATCTCGTGTATGACAGCATCGAAAAGAATAAAACATTCAGGAATAAATTTAACAAAGGTGGTGAACGATATATACGCTGAAACTGCAAGATAGTGATGAAAGAAACTGAAGAAAACACGAATAAAAGGAAAGATATTCTGAGCTCACATATGGGAAGAGTTGATATTGTTAAAATGTCTATACTACCCAAAGGGATTTACAGATTCAGTGCAATTCCTATAAAAATGACAATGGCATTTTTCACAGAGATAGAGAAAACAATGCTAAAGTTTTTATGGAACCACAAAAGACCTCAAATAGCTAAAGCAATCTTGAGGAAAAAAACAAAGCCAGAGGCATCACACTTCCTGATTTCAAACTATATTACAAAGCTATAGTAATCAAAACAGTATGATATCAGCATAAAAACAGACACACAGATCAACGGGACAGAATAGAGGGCCCAGAAATAAACCCATGCACACATAGCCAACTAATTTACAGTAAAGGAGCCAAGAATATACAGTGGAGAAACGATAGTCTCTTCAATAAGTGGTACTGGGAAAACTGGATTATCACAAGCAAAAGAGTGAAATTGGACCCCTATCTTGCACCATACACAAAAATCAACTCAAAATGAATCAAAGACTTGGATGTAAGACTTGAAACAGTGAAACTCCTGGAAGAAAACAGAGAGGGTAAGCTCCTTGACATCGGTCTTAGCGATGATTTTTTCGCATTTGACACCAAAAGCAAAGGTAACAAGAGCAAAAGTAAAAGTGGGACTACATCAAACTAAAAAGCTTCTGCTCAGCATGAGAAACCATCAACAAAATGAAAAGGCAGCCTATGGAATAGGAGAAAAAATTTGCAAATCACATATCCAATAAGAGGTTAATAGCCAAAATCTACTAGAAACTCATACAACTCAATAGCAAAAAACCCAAATAATCCAATTAAAAAATGGGCAAAGGACCTGAATAGAGATATTTTTCTGAAGAAAACATACAATTGGCCAACAGGTACATGAAGAGATGCTCAACATCACTAATCATCAGGGAAATGCAAATCAAAACCACAATGAGTTATCACCTCACACCTGTCAGGAAGACTATTATTAAATAGACAAGAGATAATTGTTGATGAGGATCCAGAGGGAAGGGAAACCTTTTACACTGTTGGTGGGAATATAAGCTACCATGGAAAACATTATAGAAGTTCCCCAAAAAATGAAAAGAAGAACTACAATATGATCCACAAATCCCATTTGTGGGTATATATCCAAAGTAAACCAAAACATACCTCAAAGAGATATTTGAAAGCTCATGGTCATTGAAGCATTAGTCACAATAGCCAAGATGTGGACACAACCTAAAGTATCTGTTAGGGATGAATAGATCAAGAAAATGTGGTATAAGTATACAATGGAATATTCAGCTTTAAAAAAGAAGAAATTCCTGTCATTTGCAACATGTGTGAACCTGGAGGACATTATGCTAAGTGAAATAAGCCAGGAACAGGAAGACAGATACTGTATGCTATCACTTATATGTGGAATTTAAGAGAAAAAAAGGTCCGATTCTTAGAAACAGAGTAGAGAAGTGGTTGCCAGGGGCTGAGGTGTGGGCAAAATATGGAGATGTCGGTAAAAGGGTACAAAGTTTCAGTTATAAAATGAATAATGGGGCCCGCCCGGTGGCGCAGCGGTTAAGTGCACACATTCTGCTTCTGCAGCTAAGGGGTTCGCCAGTTCGGATCCCAGGTGCGGACATGGCACCACTTGTCAAACCATGCTGTGGTAGGCGTCCCACATAGAAAGTAGAGGAAGATGGGCACGGTTGTTAGCTCAGGGCCAGTCTTCCTCAGCCAAAAGAGTAGGATTGGCAGCAGATGTTAGCTCAGGGCTAATCTTCCTCAAAAAAAAAAGTAAATAAAAATAAATAAATAAAATGAACAAGATCTGAGGATCTACGATATAACAGGGTGACTATAGTTGATAACACCGTACTGTAGAGTTGAAATTTCCTAAGAGAATACAACTTAAATATTCTCACACACAAAAAAAGAAAAAGGTAAATATGTGAGGCTGTGGATGTGTTAATTAACCTGATGGGGGAATCCTTTCACAATGTATAAGTATATCAAATCATCACAATAAACCTGAAAAAAAAAAAGACTTTGGCTGAGGCTTCAGCCCCATTTGAGGTTCTGCTGAAAAAGGCTATGCTTCCAGGCTCACTCAGGCTGTTTGCAGAACTCAGTTTCTTGCAGTTGTAGGACTGAGGGATTTGGTTTCCTGCTGGTTGTGGGTTGTTGGAGGCCGCCTTCAGCTCTTTGAGGCCACCTGTAGTTTCTTCCTACGTGGGGTTCCCCAACATGGCCACTTGCTTCCTCAAAGTCAGCAGAGGAGAGAGGGAGAAACTCCAGCATAAGAAGCACTACAGTCCTATGTGAGAGAACCATACCATCATGCGTAAGCCACCACATTTGGCATATTCTATCGGTTAGTGTCTTCAGATGTGTTCATGGAGGGGGCTGGCTTAGGATACTTCAGATAATTTATCTGATAGGGTAGGGAAGTCTTTTTCTGAGGAGGGGATATTTTAGCTGAGACCTCAAATGATGAGGAACCACCTGTGAGAAGATAGGGGATAGAGGTGAGGAGCATTCTGGGAAGAAGGAACAGAAAGTGGGAAATGTAGCTATACCCACAGGCAGAAAATATTATCACAACATTATAACTGTTTTATTTGTTTCTGTATCTGCTTTCTCCATAATGCAGTGAGCTGTACAAATTATCTCAGAATCTTCAGTGTTTATTACATAGTAAACACTCAGTAAGTTTGTTTAATAAATGGGTGGATTTTTAAATAAAATAAAAGAATAAGCCTATTACAAATTAACAGAAATAAAAATTTGGGCTGGCCCCGTGGCCGAGTGGTTAAGTTCGTGTGCTCCGCTGCAGGCGGCCCAGTGTTTCGTTGGTTCGAATCCTGGGCGCTGACATGGCACTCCTCATCAAACCACGCTGAGGCGGCGTCCCACATGCCACAACTAGATGGACCCACAATGAAGAATATACAACTATGTACCGGGGGGCTTTGGGGAGAAAAAGGAAAAAGATAAAATCTTAAAAAAAAAAAAAAAATGGGGTGGGGGGAACTCTGATATTTTCCAAAACAGAAAAACAAATCTTTTTTAAAGACATTGTTTTACATTTTCTGAAATATCTTTAATTTCTAGCTTAATAGAAGACAGCTGGATTTTTATGACTGGTTCTGTACTCAATCTGTTGTGCTATTGTATGTCTTGCAGCCTCTGGAAAACTTCACCATACACTCATAAGATGGAAAGTGAAAATGGCAAATGACATCTTAGCATTATTATGCAAATAGCTATGACCTGAAAAGACCGTCTTGGGAAACTCCAGGGGCCTCTAGACTACACTTTGAGATTAATTACTTAGCTGGATTAAACTAACTGAATGATTATTTCTCCAAATTCTTTTCTCTCTGTTTCTTTTGTAATACTTACACACTCAACTGAAACTGAAAAATAATGATGAGAATAAGAATCCTAGCATAGAACAATAATCCCTCATTATCCACTAGCCCACATGGAAAAACTAGGAGAACATTTTAAGCCAGACTTGTGTGTCATTCTAGAGGTGACATGTAGTTGAAGTCATCCACTCTCCCACCCCACGACTGCCCCCACCACTACTTGGTTACTCCTTGTTATTCTTTGAAAATAGTTTCTAACTCTCTTTTTAATTCTACTCCTCTCATTCTTCTCAGTGAGTTCAATATCCATATAGACAATGCTTCCCATGTCTGTCCTCTCAATGCCTTGCCCTCCCCTCTTCCAGTGATCTTGTCCTCCCCTTTACCTTGGCCACACATTCCCATGGTTACACCTGGACTTGTATCAGTAACTGCAAACCCTCCATAATCTCAATTTTAAACAGTCTACTTTCTGGCCAATAACTACCTTTTTTTCCCAGCTCACTTCCTCTGCTCCAATTCCACCAATCCCTCAATTCCACAAACACCTTCAATCCATTGATTCTACAGCATTTTCACTGCTTCTCCTGTGTCCTCAGTCTCTTCCCCCACTATCCAGTTTAAATTCCATGGTCACTTATAATCACTCCCTTAAATTTGTCTCCAACCTCTTTGCCTTACTCTTGTTCATGAAATTCTCTTGGATAAAGCTCAATCTTGGTTAAATTCAACATTCTTCCTACTCTATGCCTACACCCACACAGATGAAAATGTCTAGAGAAAAATCTACTGATGACATCAATCTAGATTCACGATCACCAACATTATGCGGATGATTAACACTGTCTGGCAATTATATTGTATTTCCTTAGATCATTTACACTTCTACTCTCCTAAGTGACTGTGTCTTACCTTATCCTCTCTCCTCAAACTCCAACACCTCCTCCACCCTCATTCTCAGAGGACGACTTTGCCTCCTATGTAACTAAGAAACCTATAGCAATCAGAAGAGCCCCTCTACATTTACCCACCCACCTGCATGTGTGCACGTGCACCACTTCCCTTCTTGCACTATGGTTGAGCTATCTATGATCCTAAAGACCATCCCCTCCAATGGTGCACTAATTCCTTCCCTCTAACCTATTCAGGCCATTGCTCAGAAATTCTCCTTCTCTCCTGCCTCATCAATTTATTCCTCTCTACTGGGTCTCTCCCATCAGCCTAAAAACATGCTTTATTTTACAGAAAACATCCGTATTCACTGATAAAAAACTCTTCTCATCCTATTTCTCTCTCCAGCGATTGCCCATTCTTCTCCTTCCTTTAACAAGAACAACACTCCTTGAAAGAGCTGTCTATACTCACTGCCTCTAATTTAGCTCCTTTTGCTCTCTGTTGAACCTACTCTAATCAAACTTTCGTCACCATTACTCCCCCAAATTTGTTCTTATCAAGCTCACCAGTAACTTACACTTTGCTAAATCCAGTGATCAAATCTCAGGCCTCATCTTCCTGGATTATCAGTATTTGACAGAGTTGTTCACTTCTTCCTTTTTACAGTTTTTTTCACCTGGAATCCACAACATTTTGCTCTCCTGGTTTTCCTCTGTAGGACTGCTACGAGGGCAGAAGGGAGGAGAGTGTTGGTTGAACTAGAATTGTGCAGATCTCTGTAGTCATTGGAAGATCGAGTTAGGGGAAATAGTCAAACAGAGAAGGCCCAGGAGGCTCACCTGAGGTTGAAGGAGAGAGAGTTATTGACTCTTGCCTGATGCAATAGTAGGGCACTGACCCAAGGAAGACAGTCTAGGTGCATATTGGTATTCAGGACATCACATCTTAAAGATCAGGGATCCAAGCAAAAGACCAAGGGATGCAGTAAGGATAGGTAAGATAAAGATAAGGTAATAATGTTACCAATCCCAACTCCAGCTTGGTAACCAGGTTGTACTCATAATAATACCATTCATATATTTACTACCTAATTTGTACAAAGTGCTTTCATGTCTATTGTTTCTTCACAATATCCCCAGAAAATAAAGTTATTTTTATCCCAATTATATAGATGAAGAAACTGAGGCTCCAAGAAGTTAAAACAATTGTCTAAAATTACACTGAAAGTTATTAACAGAGTTGAGACTGGAACCCAGACCCACGAAAACCAAGAAGCAGCATCTAGGCAGCAGCAACCAAGGTGCTAACACAGAAATCTTGGGCAACAGAGTCAGAAGCTTCAGATGGCTTGGTTCAGAAAGACTGGACAATCAACACCACATCTTGAGACTGAATAGCTGATTTGGGTGAGTGCAGGGATGGGGCGGGAATAAGAAGCCAAACTGACAAGCCAGCAGCAAGGGGAGCTTCCTGGGTGCTAGAACTCAAGTGGAAGCAGACAAACTGAGCTGAACACAGGTGAAAGGAGCAGGTGGGTTCACCTGACTGAGGGGGCCGGGTGGAGATGGAGAAAGCTGAGTCATTTCTTACAATCATCCCAGAGAATAAATAAACCTTCAGTTCTCTGTTGGAAGAGCTAATGTTTATCTCCTGGAATCCTTTGGCCTCTGGCCTAAGGAAGAAGAAAATATTTGGCATCTACTGGGATGGTTATTGGGTACTACTGGGGGCTGAGCAAGGGGTGGAAAGGGTGGAATTTTTTCCTATATTTATCTAGATCATATCTGAAGGATTTTAAACAGTTCATGGAAAATGCATAATCCTTACAAAGTGGAGTAAAAGAATTGACAAATTATCTCTTTGACAAGCAATTTATTCCTTTTTGTTAGAGCAGGAGTTTTGAAATTTCAGGTGTAATGGATATTGAGCAAGCCTGACCCATGACTAATTCCCAGCCCCTTTGTTCTTATGATCCAGTCCCCCTACATATGTTTCAGTGCAATTGACTTTCCCTTGTCCCTGGATGAACACTCAGGCACATCCTAAGACTTTCCTAGACACCCTCAGGTATTTATGTCAGGACAAGGACATCCTATAGTCACTTTAGTAACAAATAGAGTTAAATTCGGTAATTAGAACACCTTACATAATCAGAAACTAGAACTGATTTAGCACTAAACCTTCTCCTGCCCCTTTGCTTGGGCTGCTTCTCAGTGTGTGGCTTGTTCTCGATTTCTCCACCTCATGCTTTCCCTCCTCCCTCCTGGTGCTCTTCCTGCAGCTCACTAACCAGTTTCTGGTTTCAAGTCAGAGGCAGGAGAAGAGAGAGAAATGGCCAGTGGCTAGGGTATATCCTCCATGAACTAGCTTTGTTTAAATATTTACAGTGTTTACAAGTGAGCCTTCTTTATCAGACGCTTTCAAAGGCGTTCTCTAGGGTCTCTCTTGGACCCTCCCCTGCGATTCCCCTGTCTCCGGCAGACAGATGCATCCTATTATGGGTTGTCAAGGGTAAGGTAACCAACCATCCCAGTTTGTTGGGTAATGTCCCTGTTTTAGCATTGAAAGTCCCATGTCCTGAGAAACCCCAGTCCTGGGCAAACCAAAATGGTAGGCCACCCTAGTCGTGGGTGCTTCTACAGCCCTTAATTAACCTGGTATCAGCTCCAACTTCTGGATTTTGGTCCTTCATCCCTTTAGGGTCCCATTAGACTAAACCAATGATAAACCCACATTGACTCCCCGCCCCCCCAGTGACCCACATATCTGGTCCACAGAAAATATTTCTTTGCTCCTTTGGAATCTGGAGGTAAAAGCCCTCCATCCTGCCTGAATCCAAATATTTGCAAGGGCTATCTCCAAATGCACAAAGGAAGCGGCTCCCTGCACCTCCCTTCTCATTTCCTGGAGAGAATCAAGTTGTCCTGAGCCCACTGGAACAGATTCCTTCCTATCACCTCTGAGAGGGTTTGGTGACAACCAAGGGGCCTCAAGGGGCGTCCACTTTAGGTTTCTCCTCGGGAAGAGATTCCTCAGGGATGTGGTCAAGTCTGTACGTAACCCCTGTGATGTACATGGTGAGTCCATAAATAACCTTAATCCGGAGCCACCTACCCTATTTGCTCCCTACTATGGGATAATAAAGAACCTATTGATTAAATTACCTTCGAAAAACAATAGTAATTTTAATAAAATAATAAATAAAATAAAACTATTATTTTAACTAAAAATAATAGTAATAAGTACTAAATTTTAATAAAAAAAGATTTTTAATAAAAAATAAGGATAACACTTTATCTTGTTGCCATTACCCTTTTTGGCTTTCTAAGTTATAAGTCCTCTGAGAATCCCAACTGCCAGGAACATGGTTCAAAACTCTCCAAATGGACCCACTGAGATCTCCTCTTGCTAACGATGGGGTAAAGAAGACAATCCCACCACGGGTCCCCAGGATGGAGCAATTGCTCTTTCCAAAAAAATCATTTCAAAATTCTCCTCCATATCAATGCTTTGCATCTGAAAGTGGTTGGGGGGATTCAAGTCCTGGAATGCAAATTTTGCATATTGTGATCTGGCCATGGAATATCACATTGGTGTCTCAGTCTCTAACTTTAATCTTAACATTCTATTATTACACAAGATTATCCAAAATAAAAACTCTACCCAGTAGGTGGCACTTGCAGAAATATATGCAGAGCATTTGGAGGAGATTGCATTTTCTAGAGATTGCCATAGCAATATTTATGTTCCCACATACCCTCCCAGAACCTTGACATCCTTCCATCAAGCAGTGGAACCTATTCTTCTCTCTTCAAATATGAGACACCTCAGTGACTCACTTCTAAGAAATACAGTGTAGTGGAAGTCTGACTTCTTAAACTAGGTCAGAAAGGGCAATATAGCTTCTGACTATTTCTCTGTCTCTCTGTCTCTCTGTCTCTCTCTCTCTCAGTCAGGACCAGCTACATGATTTGCGGGATCCAGTGCAAAATGAAAATGAGCAGCCCTTTTTTCACAAATTGAAAATTTCAAGGCAATGATAATAGAGCACTAAACCAAGCACAGGATCCTCTTGAGTGTGGGGCCTTGTGTGACTGCACAGGTCACAAGCCCATGAACACTTACCCTTGGAAACCAGACACCATGTTGAGACAAAGCCCAGGCTGCATGGAGAAAGAGCCACAAGAAGCTCTTCCAGATGCAGCCCTAGAAAGACCCTCAGCCAGCAGTGACATCAGCCATAAGCCATGTGAGTGAACAAGCATTCAGATGGTTCCAGTCTCAAGCCTTCCAGTCTTCTGGATGAGACTTCAGACCTTGTGGAAACAAGCTGCCTCACTGTGCCCTGTTCAAAGAATCCAGGAACATAATAAAAGGGTTTTTTATGCCAGTAGGTTTTGGGGTTGTTACACAGCCATAGTAACCACAGCAACATGATTTACAGACACAGCTTGTGAAAGACATGCTGCCCAGTCATACCTGCCCTGTCTCTGCTATGTGAGCATCTGCTCACCACCTGTACCCTCCGACACAAGTCTTCCCCAGTGTTGCTGGTGAAGCTCCAGTGCCCTGGGCTGCAACCACCACAACACCCTGAGGACAGAACTCCAAACCTCCACCTTCACCTGAAGCAGTCTTGGCCTTCGGCAGCTTTGCCAGCATCAAACCTTTATCATTCTCCACACAAGGCTCTGCTGCTCCCTTCACAGGGCTTCAGCCTCAGGACAGGAGAAACATTGAGACCACCCAGCCCTGGCACCATGGACAACACTTCAGGTACCCCACCGATGAGACAGACTCCTTGATTTCAGATTTGGTGTTACCCTTCCAGCAACCATGTACATTAAATTGGGCTGATGGAGTGTCTTTGGTACTAATGCATCATTAATATCAGGGTTTCTATGAAACTGAGAGTCTGAGACCCAAACCTCAAAGTTTTGAAACTCAATGTTTTCATTGGTTAAGAACCACAATTCAGCCTCTAATGACGTACAATCCATTATTTGACTTAAATAGCTGCTGGAGGCTAATGACACTATTTTTCCGCATGTTTATTTGAGTGCCTTGGGGGTCATGTCCTTTGGAATTTAAAACCCAAAGCAATTTAATATGGCATAGCACTCTAGAAAAGAAACACAAAAACAAAAACTCTAAGGTTTTTGTTAGACATTTTTTAGGTTTTACAAATTGTGAAACCGTGACCACTGAAAGAAACTCATCCTTTCTACAAAATGATGTTATGAGTGATTTTGAAAAATATAGGAATATTCTCAAAGTAAATAGGGCTTTTTACCATAATAAGTTTACCGCATGCAACAACTTACTGAATTATCTGCTCTTTATTTTATTTGGTTTTTTTCGAGGAAGGTTAGCCCTGAGCTAACATCTGCTGCCAATCCTCCTCTTTTTGCTGAGGAAGACTGGCCCTGAGCTAACGTTCGTGCCCTGAGCTAACATTCGTGCCCATCTTCCTCTATTTTATGTGTGGGACGCCTACCACAGCATGGTTTACCAAGTGGTGCCATGTCCGCACCCGGGATCCGAACCGGTGAACCCCAGGCCGCCAAAGCGGAACGTACGCACTTAACCACTGCACCACCAGGCCAGCCCCTGCTCTACTCTTGTTAGTTCTCAAATTTAGCCGTTAATAAGTGAAGATGCCGTTTTTTCCTGACTTTTCCTGTAAGTCATATATTAGTACATGTATCATTTCAAATGCCATGTAAACATTAACTTACATAATATATGCTTTTTAAAAATCTAAATATTCTCAAATCTTGAAAATATTTCTTACATTTCTCTTTGATATCCAGTTGCCAAACAATCTTAGATTCAGATTTCTGTCAAATTTGTTTTCTATACCCAAACTGCACTGATTATTTGGAACACACCAAGCATAATAATAATTATAATAAAATGGCATCATCTCCTAAGGGATTCTATTTAATTATTAAAAAACAAATCTGTGAAGTTTTTTTCTGTTTTCTCTCTTCTTTGTCCTGATTAATGTCCAAATTAAAGTAAGCATGATCATAAACTAAAGCGATCGGAATACGTGCAGCTCAGCTTCCCTAAGGGACCCTTCATATTGCCATAATGCTGCAAAGTAGTAATAGCAGTTAATCTATGAGGAAATGTGAATTCCTAGCTCCCACATCCAAAAACAGAATGTTAGAGAACAATGGAAAGCTGCCCTGCCTCGTGGTGTATGTACAACTGGAGAAATTGGCCAACCAAATGCCATGATGAAATAAATGGAAGCAATATAATTTTTAAGCACTTTGGAATGTTTTCACAGTATTTGGCTCCAAGTAGACACTCAATTATAAGCTTGTTAAATAAAATAAGATAGCATATCTCATTTTTTTCTCCTCAACTACCTTGCAAGGTAGGTAATACTATCATCGTTACTCAGGGAAAGTCACGAGGTTATACAGCTACTCGCTGTGCAATGCTCTTGCAATATTTCACACATCTGATACTGCACTCATTCATTCATTTATTTACTCACTCGTTCATTCATTTACTCTTCAAAGCCAAACTTGTGGTTAATACATTTGAAGAGTACCCAGTCCAATGGGGAACAGAGACAGGTAACTCCAACTCTGCATTCCAGAGCAAGTGGTCGAATAGAGTCTGCTGTGGAGTCAGGTAGGGGTCCCTGGAAGAGGTGATACTTAGTTGAATCCTAGAGTAGAGATAATCTAACAAAATTGTTTTAGTGCATATTGTCTAACTCAGCACTTCTCCAACTATGCTTGAAAAAACATTAATGTTTGGCTTAACACCAATAAATATTCCGTGGATGACACAATATCCCAATTAGCAGCAGTTGCTCTCTGGTTTGACCTAGCATTTTTTTCATTGTAAATTATTTAAGTTGGCCCACTATTTCACCAATGAGCCTGCTGAGTTTGATCACTCAGAATTAGTCAGACATAATCTGGCTTGTTTATACAATAAGATCACACAGGTGGCCTGACAGTGGTAGGACTAAGGCACAAGACCCTGGGACAGAGGGGACAACTTATTGCATCACACCCCAATTCTCAGCCTTCCTGTAGCCGATACACTGGGTGGTTTTTCTTAATTGCTTAAGGAGGAACTGGACATTCTTTGGATGAATTTAGTGGGTGTGATAAAAAAGAATTCATTTTAAAAACAAACTAGAAGTGATAATAAGCTGGATTGTTCAATATTTAAGTAAGAAACCAAAGTCAATTTCTCAAAGGAGCCTTTTGAAGTTGTCTAAGGTAAAATCGTCTCTGCTCCAGGGTGAGATCAAGTAACACGTACCACAGAAAGCCACTCAGCGCTCTCGTTTCCCAGGAGAACAGAGAAGAGAGACAGTGGGTTGCCTGTTTAAAGTGGATAATCTGAGCAGAGTAAACGTTGGAAGTCAAAGTCAGAATTAGGTTAGTCAGAAAAAATTTAAAGTGAGAAGGAGCCTCTTCAGGTGTCTCCAACTGTACACAGCGAGTAGCCAGGCCTCAGTAACAACCTTGAGAAAAGCACACCCCTTTGTGAATTAGAAATTTGGCAGTAACCTAAGTAGACACACCTTTTTCAGTGTGTTTCATGTCGTTTTTATAGAAGTCTCAAATGGGTGCTAGTAATTTCTGCTAAAATTTCCCCTCAGGATAAAACTTGTGGTCATGGCAAGACTTTGTAGGAGTTCTAAGATTTGTTTATGCTTGCCATGCTTTTAACTGTTTGAGGCAGGGTAGCACAAGTTGAGGATGGAAGGGATGCCCTCAATAACATGACGGGGCCCATCTTGGTGCCCGTTGTTCTAACATCTAAAGGTGCTTTGACATTCAATAGCACAGGGTGCTCCTTATTTTTGAAGATACTCCATACTTACAAATCACCTCCTTGGAGATTGTGCAGATTGACCATGTTAGCACCGAGGCTCCTGTGTGCTGCAGTCTGAACAACAAGGAGGAACAAAGATTTGTTGAGTGTTTTCTCTGTTCTGGCCTCTTCACGACATTTCCTATCTTAGCAAAGAAGTCGGACTCTCTGCTTCTGAAGTACCAGTACCCTGATTGCCACTCCTGCAAATCTGTCCCCATAGCACCTGGCACAGGACATAGCAGGAACACACTTCTGTCCCTCAGCCCAGGTCCCTGTTCTTTTCTACAACTCCTGGGAGGCTATTGTCCTTTGTTATTCTGCCAGACCTCAGGTAGAGTACATTCTGTACTTTGGTTACAGACAGAGGGGAGCAGTGGGAGAAAAGAGGAACAGAGAAAACAGTGCTCTGCTTTTCATGTGATGACTGCCATCTTCTCTTACCTGAAGAAAGCACAAACTGAGGAGAGTGTCCTGTTCCTCCTCTTTCTACATCTATCCTCCTCCACCCTTATTTTCTTGGCTGTTTTTCTAAGGCCCATCTTTTGCCACAAGAGGGTAAAGAATAGGGTTGGGTAAAGAAAGTTTAAAAACAATTCTAGTTCCTTTCCTCTTATTTCAAGTCTCAGAAACCAATTAAAATCATACTTTTCCTCATATTCAATGTACCCACGTAAGCACCTGCCACAGTTGCATTGGCTCCATGACACCTCCACTGTCACACCTCACCTGTCTTCCCTGTAGTGTGGTGGGAAGAGCAAGGACACAACACCATTTACACAACCTTGTGTACAATAGGCACCCCCTTAGCCACAGTTTTACTTTTCTCAGCTTCAGTTACCCACAGTCAACTGTGGTCTGAAAATATTAAATGGAAAATTCCGGAAATAAACAATGAATAAATTTTAAATTGCATGCTGCTCTGAGTAGCATGATGAAATCTCGCACTGCCCACCTGGACATGAATCATCCCTTTGTCCAGCATGTCCACGCTGTATGCACTACCCACCCATTAGTCACTTTAGTAGCCTTCTCAGTTATCAGAGCACTGCAGCAGTATCACAGTGCTTGTGTTCATGTAACCCTTATTTTACCAAATAATGGTCCCAAAGCCAACTTTATTATTATTGTTGTTAATCTCTTGCTGTGACTAATTTGTAAATTAAATTTTATCATAGGAAAAAACCTAATACATATACAGTTCGGTACTATCCAAAGTTTCAGGCATCCATTGGGCATCCTGGAACAAATCCCCCATGGATAAGGGGAGACTACTGTGTGCTTAATTCTTTTTTTTTTAATTCTGGAGTTTCAAAGAGAAACCAAATTATACTTACTAAAAAACAAGTTTCCCAAACCAAATAATAAATGATTTTGAAAGACAATTTTCCTATCCAAAATTTATGACATTTGGCTTTACTCTGTTTTGCAAACGTCAAATCAGTCCTCACTGATCAAGTCCAGTGAGAAGTGAGAACAAGAAAACACTAAGTGACCTTTTTTTAGCATTTTTAGGGAAATTTCACAATTATACATACACACACACTTGTGTGCAAGTTATCTTGTAAGTTTATTTATTCACTTATTGTGTTTTCTGGTCAACTACACTATACCAAGTATGACAGCTCATGCTAGGTGCTGAAGAAATAGGAGTTAATGTAACAGTGTTGTGACTATCTATTGCTGTATAACAAACCACTCCAAAACTTAATGCCTTAACACTATAATTCATCGTGATCTCTAATAGTTCTGTGGGCTGACTGGGCTCAGCTGGGCGGTTCTCGTGGAGGGTCTCTCATGTATTTACAGATAATGGTTGGTGTTGGAGTTATTTGAAGACTTGACTGGTCTTGATGTCTTGGTTGGCTTGTTTCTTTACACTTGGGATGGCTGGAACAGCTTGGGCTGGCCGAACATCTCTCTCTCTCTCTTTCTCTCTCTCTCTTTCTCTCTCTCTCTCAGTCTCTCTCTCACCGTGTGACCTAAGCACAAAGCCAAGTTGGGTTTCTTTACAGCCAGGCAGCCTCAAGTAGTCAGACTTATGAATTCCTCCAGACTAGAAAGAGACCAAGACAGACATTGCAAAGCTTTTGTGACCTAGCCTCAGAAGTCATGCACCTCACATCCGCTGAATTCCATGGGCTACATAGGACAAGCCCCGATTCACCATAGGAGAGGACTACCCAGGGCCACGAATGCAGGGAGGTGTGGTTTGGCTTTGAGACTAGCCAAGATAAACAAGCGTAGTCCCTAACCTCAAGAAACTTATAATAGTTAAATAGACACTGAACTAAGAGTTGCAGTCCCGACTACTAATTTTGGCTTTGCCACGTGGTTGCCAAAGTCATTTCACCTTTAAAAAGCAAACAACAAAAAGCTTAACTGAAATCCCCACTGAAATGGATTTTTAATGGTTTATAAAACTAAGCACTATGCAGCAATTAAAAATCATGCTTTCAAAGAATATTTGTGGATGGAAAGTGCTCAAGTTCAGTAGAAAGCAGAGCACATAAAAAGAGTATGTTTGTAGAATATTCCTAATTGTTCTTAAAACACACATATACATACACGTATAAATTCACAGAAATTCATAAAAAGAATCCCATGAACATGTTTAAGGTGGTTACAATATGAATGGGATCTTTTTTCTTCTTTATACTTTCCCAAATATCCACAATTAACACACATTGTTTTTATAACAAAATTACATTATAATATAGTATATTTATAACTAATATCCTAAGAGAAAAGGAAAGTGAACAATGAATCTTTACACTTATTTTCTGGAAGTTGGGCTCTCCAAGACAACCATAAAAGAATGGCACATTAGCACTGAATCCTAATATAATACTTTGTAAGAATTAAAATGAAGACATCAAGGGGCTGGCCCAGTGGCACAGTGGTTAAATTTGCATGTTCTGCTTCAGCGGCCCAGAGTTCGCTGGTTCGGATCCCGGGTACGGACATGGCACCACTTGTCACACCATGCTGTGGTAGGTGGCCCACATATAAAGTAGAGGAAGATGGGCATGGATGTTAGCTCAGGGCCAGTCTTCCTCAAAAAAAATAAAAATAAAAAATGAAGACATCAAGATGGTGAAGGGGTTCAGAACAGGCCTCCCCAAGATGTGCCACTTTGGCATGTGGAATATTTTGAGCTAAAGGCCATCAAAACCCTGCAGGCTCAAGAGTAATTTTCACCGCCCCCCCCCCCCCAAAGAACTTAATAAGAGTTAATACCAGAAATAACTTTTTATGATCTACCTGAATGGCAGAGCAAACCTTTAATTAGTGAATATCCACTCTTCTTGTCATCCCATGAATTACCCTCCTCGCCTCTGAAGCCTCAGGCGTCTATCCCATTCCTTAGCTCAAGGAATATATACCTTGAAATATAACGACATAAAATGAGGCATGTATACCCCATTTTACCTTTTTGTCTCTGAACCTCTCATGTAAGTGGGGTTCCTATACATACAAAATTAAATAAATTTGATTTTCTCCTATTAATCCATCTCAATTTAATTCTTAGATCAGCCAGAAGAACCTAGAAAGGTAAAGGAAAATTTCTTCTTCCCCTACAGTGGCTAGGGGTGAGGTTCACAGGACTCTAGTGTTAACAATCTTATATTAGAGGAGCAAGGCAGCAGGGTATCTCCTAAATTCTCCTCTGAGCAGAAACCACAACTTGACACAGGAAAGAGTCGCGGGTCCCTGGGCTTTTTCCTGGAACATTGAAGTTCTTAAGAGAGGAATGCTTTTGGTCATGATACTTGCATGATACCATTTGATCTTATTTCCCAAGTTTCCATAAAGGAGTGTAAGAATAAAAGGAGGTGAAAGAATAAATATAATCAAATGTATCTGTCTCCATAGTGTATGAGAACAAGAGATCAAGGCCATCCATTGGGGAATCCAATAAATTGTACTGATGGTGGGGAGATAGTCTTTTCCTATCTCACAGATGTTATATAGGTGGGAACAGGAAGGCATTTCAGTGGGAGGAGCCATGGGTGGTAACTAGAAATAAGAACTTAGATGAGCACTGAGCCATGGCTCGTGTGACTCAGCCCCAAATCTATGTCACAGGCAATGAAATATAGCCAAGATTTTATTTCAAAATAACTCCAATTCTCCACTTCAAGGACTGTTAAAAATATTGAAGAACATAGTTCCGAATACCACCTTAGAATTTTCCTTCCCTATGGGACATCTGCTAGTCATCTGTCCCAATATCCATTTTCCTTTTCTTCCTTAGAAGTGGAATCCCTGATTTGGTTGGACACCTAGAATAAAATAAAACTTTTCCCAGGTGTGGCCATGTGACTCAGTTCTGGGCAATGAGTTTAAGTACAAGTGTTAGATACAACTCCTGGGAAATTTCCTTAAAGGGTATCCCCAGGCATCCTTTGTGCTGGCAATAATACAGATGATTTGGCTAAATCCAAAAAACCTATTTTAGACCATGGGAGGTCATGCAAAGGATCATGGGACAAGAAGAGAAAAGGATCTCAAGTCCTTGATGGTCACAGAACTTCCATAACGGTGATAAACTATCTGCATTTTGCCTTTTTAAAGTGACCCAGGAACAAAATTCTCTTAGGTTAACTACTGTTATTCAGAGGTTTTTCTTTGCTTGCAGCCAAACGCAATCTTATAACAATTCAAAGTCAAATTCCTTACATTGCTCATCTCTATACCCTCCTTTTCTAAAACCCCCTAGAAAACTTCCTCCTTACTTGCAGTTTCCAGGACGGATCCCAGCCGCAAGAGGCTTTTCTTTCCTTTCCTGAGAGAAAAACGTCTCCCCTCCCCCTGACAGGGCTCTTGTCATCTCACTCTCTCCTTTCCTCCTGACCCTGAGGCTCTAGCTGCCTGTCGTCATTCTCAAATTCTGCAGCACACATTCCACATGACCTGCAACGGCAAGGCCTCTTTGGAAAGGAGAAGGGGCAGAAACCAAGCAATCTCAGTAAAAACTCTCTTCTGGAGGAAGGCGACAGGGGCCAAAAGCTGTGGGAAGACTTCGACACACAACTATTTTGGAAGTGTATCAATTAAGGAAAAATTTCAGT